TTTTTTTTTTTTTTTTTTGGTTTTTCGAGACAGGGTTTCTCTGTGTAACCCTGGCTGTCCTGGAACTCACTCTGTAGACCAGGCTGGCCTCGAACTCAGAAATCCACCTGCCTCTGCCTCCCAAGTGCTGGGATTAAAGGCGTGCGCCACCACCGCCCGGCTGTAATACAAATTTTAAAAATAGCACCAGCTGCAGTAGTACAGTTGAGACAATGATTAGAATCCGAACCAGTAATGGCCATGACGGTAACATGAAAGGAAGGGCACATTTAAGAAATGTTGTGTCTACTACAGTAGGAATTAAGACGCAACTGACTGGCCGGGGTTGTGGTCAGGGTGTGACAGTCCTGAAAGACAATAGGTGTGAATGACTGAAAAGTGGAGGTGAGGACTGTTAGGTGTAGATGAGTAGACGTTGATGACATTACACAGGAGATTTGTGTATCCAACACAGGGCTGTGATTGGTCTTTGACAAAAGCTTGCTATATGCCATCTGTAAGGGAGTATTAGGTTTTGTTTTATGTTTATATTCTGTTTTTGAGACCCTAAGGCCTAGACTGGACTCAGACTCCCAACCTTTGTGTTTCATGAACTGAGATTATAGCGTGTGCCATTATAATCACTTGCCACTGAAGCCTTTGAAGTTAAGGGACATGCTTAAAGTCACGTAGCTAATGTCTGTAATGGCACAATCAGAATGTAAACTAGTTCTAACTAGTGACTTATAAGTGTTCATCTGATTCATCTTCTATAGCAAAGATTGAATTGTCTACTTTTCAATTTTTCCTGTTTAAGAAATTAATCTGGAAGGGGGTAGCACATGCTTTTAATCCCAGCACTCAGGAGGTAGAGACAGGTGGATCTCTGTGAGTTCCAGGCCAGCCTGGTCTATACAGCGAGTTCCAGGACAGCCAGGACTACACAGAGAAACCCTGTCTCGAAAAACCAAAAAAAATAAAAAATAATAAAAAAGTAAAATAATAATAAAAATAAAATAAAGAGAAAAAGAAAATAGAAATAAATGAACTGCTTAGGAAAGGGAAAAAGTAGTTTTCTCTTGTTAGTTTTTTAAAAAAAGATTTAAAATCAGTTGAGACAAGGTCTCCCTGTGTAGCTTTGGCTGGCCTGGAACTCATAGAGATCTGCCTTCCTCTGTTTACTGGGATTAAAGCTGTATGCTACTATTCCAAAAAAAAAGGATGTTAATTTTTATTTAGTTATGTATGTGGCTGAAGGTACCAGTCTCAGGCCAGTGGCATCAGATCCCCTCAGAGCTGGAGTTAGAGGTGGATGAAGCCTATTCCTGTGGGTGCTGGGAATTGAACTTCTGGAGGAATAGCTGGTGCTCTTAACCATTAAGACCCCTAGCCCCTTTTGAGACAGGGTTATGTTACTTAACCCTGGCTGGCCTAAAACTCTGTGGAACACTAGATGGTTTCACACTCACAGAGATCCACCTGAGTTCTAGGATCAAAGGGGTACACTGCTACACCTAGATATTCTGTTACTATATATATTCTGCTGTTGTTTCTGTAAGACAATTTCAGTATATAGACCAGATTGGCCTGGAATCAGATCCTCCTGGCTTAGTCAAGGGACTAAAAGCAGTGTTTTGGGGACAAGGGGAACATGCGGATAACATTTAAAAACCAACAAACAAACCAGCTTTGAGACAGTTTCATGTAGCCCAAGCTGGCCTTGATCTTGCCCTGTAGCTGAAGGTCACCTTAACCTCATGATCCTCCTTGCCTCCACCTCTCAAGTGCTGGGGTTTTACCAGACTGCCTTGTTTTGGTTTGAGATAGGGTCTACCTATATATCTCTGGCTGGATGCAACTTGCTGTGCAGACCAGAATGGCTTCAAACTTAGGGTAATCCTCTTGCCTCTGGCTCCTGAGTTCTGGAATTATAGGTGTATACTCCTGCGGCTAGCTGCAACAGAAACTTCTGACCTATGTAGTACTAAAATCACACAAAGCATTCTCATCCCAGGAACTAACTGTGTTCCTTGTAGGATCTGGACGCAGGGCGTCATCTGGTGGGTGTGAAGAGCTTTAGCGTGGTTGTCTTGTTTTGCTTTTCGCTGTTGGCTTTCTTTTGCTTTTTGAGACAGGGTGTCTGTAGCCCTGACTGTCCTGGAACTCTGTGATAGCTTGCCTCTGCCTCCTGAGTGCTGAGATGAAAGGCATATACCACCACACCTAGCATAAACACTTGATGATATTTAATCAATGTGTTAAGCATTGTGCTACATTAGCAGCATGTTAAGACAATACAGATAAATAAAATTGGTTGCTACCAGTGCATTGGCTCATGGGATCCTGTCTTATCTTACAGATCACTGGAGATTGCAGCTGCTGAGCAGAGATTCTGGAAAGCACTCCATTTCTGAGCCTCTAGCATGGCGAGCCTAAAGAGGCGGGCAAGCCAGGTGTGGCCGGAAGAGCGTGGTGAGCAGGAACACGGGCTCTACAGCCTGCACCGCATGTTTGACATCGTGGGCACCCACCTTACACACAGAGATGTTCGAGTGCTTTCCTTCCTTTTTGTTGATGTTATTGATGACCATGAGCGTGGACTCATCCGAAATGGACGTGACTTCTTACTGGCACTGGAGCGTCAGGGCCGCTGTGACGAGAGTAACTTCCGCCAGGTGCTGCAGCTGCTGCGCATCATCACTCGCCACGACTTGCTGCCCTACGTTACTCTCAAGAAGAGACGGGCTGGTGAGGGCTGCTGGGGTCTGGGAGCATTGAATGAGAGCTTTGTGGGAGGCCAGGCGTGAGCTGTGCAGGAGTCTACAGGGGGTGGACCTGACCTGGGGAGTACCTAGGAGAGCGGAGAGCCTTTGGGAGAAGACAGATACGTATTTTTCCTGAGTGACTTCTCCTCCTCCTGCAGTGTGCCCTGACCTTGTGGACAAGTATCTGGAGGAGACATCAGTTCGCTATGTGACCCCCAGAGCCCTCAGTGATCCAGAGCCGAGGCCTCCCCAGCCCTCTAAAACAGGTGAGAAGAGATCACTTGTAATTTTCACGAGACCACTGATCCCATCACAGGCGTGACTGGGCCAACGTCAATGAAAGGATACAGTTCCTCTACATCTACCCCATTAAAAAAATCAGACGCTGGGGAAATGGCTCACTTGGTAAAGTGCCTGCTGCATAAGCATGAAGACTTGAGTTCAGATTCCAGCACCTACATAGAAAAGCTGAGTAATAAAATGTCTGTAATCTCAGCGTCAGAGGGCAGACACAGGTGGACCCCTGGAGCTCACATAGGTAGTTAACCTCAGCACATTGGTGAACTCAAGGCTCAGTGAAAGCCCTTGTCTAAAGAAAGGTGGGAAGAGGATTGAGGAGGACACCTAATGCTGACCTTTGGCCTTTACATGCAGGCACACTCACGTATGAACACATCCATGTGAACATGTACACACGCAAATCAGGTGAAGTCTACTTTGTCTAGGTCTAGTGTTTGCTCTCCTTTTAGGTCATTTTTTAAAAATCAATTTACAGCCAGGTGGTGGTGGCGCACGCCTTTAATCCCAGCACTTGGGAGGCAGAGGCAGGCGGATCTCTGAGTTCGAGGCCAGCCTGGTCTACAGAGTGAGTTCCAGGACAGTCAGGGCTACACAGAGAAACCCTGTCTCGAAAAACCAAAAAAAAAAAAAAAAAAATCAATTTATGTGTATGAGTATATTGTCTGCATGTATGTTGAGCCATCTCTCTAGACCCTAGGTCAGTTTTTAAAAAACAATTTTCTGTATGAGTGTTTGCCTGCATATTTGCATGTGTGCCATGTATGTGCTTGGTGCCTGTGGAGGTCAGAAGGAGGTGTCAGATCCCCTCCCCATGATCCTTAGCAGCCATGGAGGTGAACCCGGGTCCTCTGCAAGAACTGCAAGTGCTCTTAACCACTGAGCCATCTCTGCAGCCCCAACTTGTTTTTTTTTTTTTTAAAGACTTCCTATTTAGCTTGGGTAGATATAGAGCCTTACTTCCTTCGCCTTTTTTTTGTTTGTTTCTTTGATTGTTTTTATTTTGTTTTGTTGAGACAGGGTTTCTTTGTGAAGCCCTGCCTGTCCTGGAACTTATTCTGTAGACCAGGCTGGCCTTGAACTCAGAGATTCGATTGCCTCTGCCTCCCAAGTGCTGGGACTAAAGGTGTGTGCCACCTCCACCTGGCTTCCTTCACCTTTAAGTGCTCGAATGATCTATTTCTTCTACCATACTTACTGTGTGCCTCCTGCCACCCCATTGCTAGGGCTGAATCCAGATCTTCATGCTTGGCAGACATTGGTCACTGAGTTGTGCCCCTCAGCCTTCAGGTTACATCACCAAGACTGCTTTTATTCTCAAGTCCAAATGATTCCTTTGTCCAAATGAAGTATTTGAAGTTCTGCTTTTACAACCTTGTGTTTTCCATTTACTTTCTGGTCAGTGCCTCCCCACTATCCAGTGGTGTGCTGCCCCACTTCGGGTTCTCAGATGTGTAGTAAGCGGCCAGCCCGAGGGAGAACCACACTTGGGAGCCAGCGAAAACGCCGGAAGTCAGTGACACCAGACCCGAAGGAAAAGCAGACATGTGGTGAGGAAATTCAAGGATTTTAGAGATACAGACTTGAGGGAAAATATAAAGAACTCCTGGGATAACGGGCAGTCTGTAATTCAGTGCAAGGCAATCTTTGTTGTTTTTAGGTTGGGTTTAGTTTTCATGAGAACTATTATGTTTTTGGTAATGGTATATTACAGTTCTTTTTAGTTACTATTAAATCAAAGGAATGCCAACGTCAAGACAGAGGATTAAAGTAAACTTGTGCAACTTTTTAATAAAACAGGTCTTCTAAGCAAGGTGCTATTTGTGAGTGACCTGAGCATAGTCACTGTATACAGCTCCAGCATTAAAGCCAGGGCTTCAAGGACACAGTGAAGAACTAGTTCTGGGGAGGTCAAGGTGCAAGAAGAGGCTCTCTGCTGGTCTTGCTTGCTTTTCTAGCTTTGGTTGTAAACACAATCCCTATTATAAACCATGCTCCTTAAATCTCTCCCAGACATCAGGCTGCGAGTTCGGGCGGAATACTGCCAGCATGAGACTGCTCTGCAGGGCAATGTCTTCTCCAATAAGCAGGACCCACTTGAGCGCCAGTTTGAGCGCTTTAACCAGGCCAACACTATCCTCAAGTCCCGGGACCTGGGCTCCATCATCTGTGACATCAAGTTCTCTGAGCTCACCTACCTCGACGCATTCTGGCGAGACTACATTAATGGCTCATTATTAGAGGCACTGAAAGGCGTCTTCATCACAGACTCTCTCAAGCAAGCTGTGGGCCATGAAGCCATCAAGCTGCTGGTGAACGTGGATGAGGAGGACTATGAGCTGGGCCGACAGAAACTCCTGAGGAACTTGATGCTGCAAGCATTACCCTGACCTCCCCCTTCTCACCTTTCTGGGGACTGTTTGTTCTGTTACCTCTGGAGCTGACATACTTTTCTGGGGTGTGTTCTCTACCCTTTCCAACCAATCACACCGCCTTTTTGTTTTTTTGGGTTTTTTTTGTTTTTGTTTTTGTTTTTTAAGGAAAAGACAAAGGAAGGTGGAAGTGGTGTCCCTGCCCTCCCTGCACCCATGTGCCTGGGCTTCCCCATTTCCTGTTGCCACTCACCCTAATGTGTGTCTTCATCCACCTTACCACTGAGCCGTAAGACAAGTGCATAGGGACAGTCTCTGGAACATAGCCTTTGTAAGGGATTGAACACTGCTTTCAGGTGCATTGAGGGGTAATCAATACGTATGGCTTTATGAGGGCTCTTAAATTTTGTCTGAAAAACCAAAGGGCTGTGAGTAAAGGAGCTATGTGGAAGGTGGGACTCTGAAGTGTATTTTGGAAATTAATTACCACCTTCTTCCAAATTATAGAATTTTTAAAAAACAAATAAGCTGTGGCCCTTTGCACTGTCTCCTGGCCTTGGGTGCTGCTCCTCTGCTTTCCCTTCACTCTGCAGCTTAAGACTGCTGCCTCTTATGGTGGATCCCTCCATTTCCCCTTGTCGGGTCTTCAGCAGACTTCAGAGGATTGGGCCGGCCTAATTACCCTCCCAACTGTGCTGTGCAGTGAACACCAATACACGGACGGGTAGCGTAGAGGCTGCTACTTAGAGCACACTTTCTCTGAAGAGGAGGAGGGGCTGGGGTGTGACATTTTCCTTCCCTTTTCCAGTGAAAATAACAAATTCTTACCCCACCCCAAGGGGTAAGAATTTCTCCTTTGCTTCCTTCTAGCTTGAGAGAAAGTGGGGTATTTAGTTTCGGCTCCTCCTGTTCCTCTGTCCTCCCTTCTCCCATACTGTGGAGAACAGGGCCGGTACACGCACTGAACATTGCACTTTCTTAGGTACAGAGGCATGTTTAAGCCAGGAAGCTTACAAGAGAAGTCTAGTCAATCAAGCAGGTACAATTCCACCTCCCTGTCCAGCCCCCAAGAGAGATGTCCAGACATTATGATTATTATATTTTTTTTCAATGCCAGTGCTGCTCAGCCCTCAGCATAACTTCAGTTTTCATGAAATAAACAATGACTATATAAAATTCCACTTTTCTGAAACTGAAATCTGAGGTCAAGTCAAAGTCTCTTCTTTCCCTTGGACTTAAGTGAAGGGAACCGTGCTTGGGTCCTGCCTACAAGTCACGGTAACATCACCTCACAGTTGGCACGTGTTTGTGTGTCTGAACCAACAGAAGTTAAAAGCACTAAGAGAGTGGATGACCCAGACTGCCATAGAGGTCAGGTCTGCGATGCTGGAACACAGGCAGGTGAAGGCGCATCTGTCGCAGAAAGTGGAGATCGATTCGAGCAAGGCAGAGGCCTGGTCCCTCTGAGCAGCGGGCCACCACTGTGCCCCAAGGGTCAACCACCATGCTGTGGCCATAACTTGCTCTTGTCTCATGGTGGCGTCCACACTGTGCTGCTGCTATTACATAGCACTGAGATTCAATGGCACGAGCCCGCAGCAACACCTGAGGATGAGACATGTGTCGACTCAAGAACATAGACCATTTACTAGGCAAGTGACAAGAACCTGGCACTGAGGGCCCAATCTACTCATTGACCATCGATCAACAGAGTTAGTAATTACATTGACTCTAACGTGACTCACACCTGTCTAAGAAATAAGTTTCCTCACCAGATGGGAAGGGAAGAAAACTCTTTCAGAAAGGGGGAGTGTGTTTGTGTTTTATGTTTTTTGAGATAAGGTCTCCCCTTGTAACTCTGGCTGACCTGGACCCACAGAGATCTGCCTGCCTCTGCCTCTTCCTCACAAGCACCAAGATACAAGGCATGCCCCACCATGCCCCAATCTTTTGGGTGTTATGGGTTGCTTTTGTTTTGTTCTTGAGATGGGGTTCGGGGTTTCTCTCTCTAGCCCTGGCTGTCCTGGAGCCCACTCTGTAGACCAGGCTGGTTTCGAACTCAGAGATCCACTTGCTTCTGCCTCCAGAGTGCTGGGATTAAAGATGTGCACCCCCACTGCCCAACTTCTATTTTGTTTTCTTTTTTTAGTCAAGGCATCACTATGTAGAACATGCTGGCTTTGAACCTGTGGCTGAAGTGTTGGGATTTAGGTTTGTACCACTCTGTTCCCATTACTAAAAATAAGGTTAAAGGAGGCCTATATGTTATCAAGAGGCATTCTCCTACCTCCCAGTGGGCTGGGCCCGTAACAGATCCAAAGGCTGACGGATAAGTAAGTATTTCTGCCCCAGCTTGAGCCAATTTCAGAGAAAGTTCAGGGAACCTCATGTCATAACAGATTGCCAGACCAACCTGAAATGAGAAACAATCCACTCATCTTCCCTGTCCCATTCAACAAAACATTGAGTACCTTCATTGTCCTACACCAAAGTGGCATGGTACCACTTTTTCAACATACTCTTATTTCCTTTTCAAACTCCCACCTTGCCTGCCGGTGTCTTGACAGGTGGCTCAAGAGTGTGTCCAGGCATGGTATAGTTGCTTTCTCTCATAGGCCCCTGACCTGGGATCTCTACATCGCAGAGATGTGTCTTCCTGTAACTGGCCACTACTGATCCTAGAGTAAGAGACAGAGAAAACTCAGACACTCTGGAAGTCAAGCTTAGCTTTTCTCCCAGAGAGTGCTTTGTAAGCTAAGAACAGAAGCATAAAACCCCTGAAAGCCAAGCGTTGAGAAAAAATGCTGAAGACCTGAGTTGCAGGAAGGCAGAAAAACCTGGGAATAGGCAGCTAAAGGGCTATGAAGTCTCACCCTTGCTGTTCAGAAGCACATGACAATTGTAGATTTTCTGATTCTGCTCCCAGTCTTGGCCACGCTCATGGAAACCACCCAAGGACAGCCAGATTCCACATTCCCTGCGGGGGTGGAGGTGGGGTGGGGGTGGGGACGACACTGACAACTCTATTCCCTCTATGTGGCAATCCAGGAACACTGTCCAACAGGAATCCTACCCCCCATCCCCCAAACCCTACCCTTGTACCTGGCAAGCTGGCTATATTGTCCCAATAGGTCACCATTCAGTGGTTCGGACAGGAGTAAAGTCTCGGCAGGATTTCGTGCAATAAAGTCAAATGCTTCGGGCAGAAAGGCCAGGCAAGCACCCAGTCTGGCAGCCTCTTGAACCAGCTCAGCACATGTTTTAAAGTTCTCTTGCTTGTTTGGTGTTGATGTTACCTGGCACACAGCTACCAGGGGCAGCTTCCAGGAAGTTGACGAGGACACCGCCATGGCTCTGGGCCTGTAAATGACACAGGCAGTTTCCTCAGATTTTCTATCTCCGAGAAACTCCGAGGCTCAAGTGGGAGTGGAGCCAGAAACTAACTTTTTTTTTTCTTTTGATTTTTTCTTTTTTTTTTTTTGGGGGGGGGGGGTACTGGGTCTTTTGCAGCCTAGGCAGGCTTTTCTATGTAGCTGGGGATGACCTTAAACTCCTGGTTGATCCTCCTGCCTGTTTCTCGAGTGCTGGGATTACAGGTGTGTCCCAACATCCCAAGCGACTTGTTTTCATTTTTACAGAGCATAATAACTCTAGAGCTACTGGAGTTCACTCATTAAATATTTGGTAGATGGCAGATATCTTTGTCTTCCACTATGCAGTTAATAAACATGGACTGAGCAGCTATGTGCCAGACAGAGAACATAGCAAAATATGTTACCTGGACTGAGTACAAAGTACTGGAATTCGAGGTAATTGGTATCCGGTACACAGAAGGGACAGGAGTTGGCGAGGAGGCCTGGTGATGAAGCCCAGCCTGAAGAAGGTGAGAAATCAGGACACCTAACCCTCCTTCAAGCCTGTAAGTTTCTAGAATTCTCTGCCATTTCCAGGCCTGGCCAGTAATCCCCTCCCCCGAGGCTTCGAAAATACTTTTTACTACTAGTAGTTACGAAAAGAGATCATAAAATGGGAAAATGGGAGAGGAGACTATGATCGGTGCCTTAATACCTCAACTTCCAGTGATCTCACATTAAAACTGAAGCCCTTTTCCTCTGCCAAACGTTTCCGTAGTTCAAGTCATCTCATGGAACCTTCCTCGTTTCCCCAATTCTCTCTTCTCGGCTGTGCCACCTGCACAGCTTTATAGACTCAACACGTCTCTTTCCCCTTATACCAGAATCTCAGAAGGAAAGTTGACCCTCCCTCGATCTCCACCATCTCGTGGTGAGTAGATGGGTATAGGACCAGATCCCAACCCGAGCCCCCGCCCTCTGATTAGCGCGTCCTTCCCCGCCTCTCCCCCGGGCAAGAATCTCTGGTGCACAAGATAAAGCATCGCAGGTGGAATTCACCGCAGCGGGCAGGGTTGGGGAGTAGGTCCTACATGAAGACACAGCCAAAACCATTCGCAGGGTCGGATCTGAAGAGCTTCCAGGAGCCAGAAGCGCAGGGGCAAGTGGGCGGTAACCACCAGGCCGGATATGACGTATGAGACTGCGCAGGCCAGAAAGCTTGCAGGTGGGGAAGATGGCGGACAGCAGCGGTCGTGTGGGCAAGAGCGGCGGGAGTGGCACGGGCAAGGGGGCGGTGTCGGCGGAACAGGTGAGGAGCCGCGAGCGCAGAAGGCACTTGGGTGGGTGTCGAATTCGTGCAAGAAATAGGATTTGTGGCTCGAAGGGGCCTTTAATCTTTTCCACGTTCGCCTTGGTCACACACAGGGGAAAGGGGGTCTTTTGGAGACGATCACGATCCTTTCTAGGGCGTGAGTAGGTGGGTAGGTAGGTGAGAGGCACGTCGAGGGAGAAAGCCTTGAGGTACAGGATCTGGAAGGGTTGTTCAGGTCCCTGAGGAGATGGGTCGTCGTTTCCCTCCTCACCGAGGTACCCTAAAGAAGGTATGGTGTTTGGCGTGGCGTCTAGTAACGGATCTCAGGCGGTTCTATGACTCTAAAACCGTGTTCACCATCACCAACAAGCTGCAGAGCCACGTGACTTAGGCTCTGACCAGTTTAGTGTTTTGCAACTGTTTTGACTAAGGAGTCTGTGGTTTATTTGTTGTTTGTTTGTTTGTTTTGTTCTTGTTTATGTCTTGAGGTGGGGATGAGGGTTGCTATGGGGTCGGATCGGATCGATCTATGTAGCCTTGGCTGTTCTGGAATTCACTATGTAGACCAAGCTGGCCTGGAACTCACAGAGATTCACTTGCCTCTGCCTCCGGTATACTGGGATTAAAGGCGTGCGCCACTGTTCCTGCCTGGGGTTGTTTCGTCTTCTGAGACACCAAGTGGCCTAGGCTGCCCTCGAGCTCGCTCACTGTGCTCTCCTCTGCAGAGACTGACTTTCAGAAGAGGCCAAAAACCATTTTCTAATCCAAGTTTGCTTCTGCTATTCGTAACATCGGGATACGTCTGACAAATTAATCAGAAAGCCCTTTGTGGTACGGGGACCATGATTCGTTAATCGTGGGACTAGTGTTTAATTGATATTAGAAGAATCACACAATTGAAATGAAAATAGTAGCCGGGCGGTGGTGGCGCACGCCTTTAATCCCAGCACTTGGGAGGCAGAGGCAGGTGGATTTCTGAGTTTGAAAGTTCGAGGCTAGCCTGGTCTACAGAGTGAGTTCCAGGACAGCCAGGGCTACACAGAGAAACCCTGTCTCGAAAAACCAAAAAAAAAGGAAAAAAAAGAAATGAAAATAGTTGAAGCTAGGGGTGTTGTTTGGTGGGTTGAATGGGAAAGCCTTGACCTGTGGGATCTGGGAAGGTGTTCCCATCTGGGATGGAGGCCTGGGGTTGGGATATTTATGTATTGAAGAGTTATTTTAATCATAGGTACATTGTGTTCAAAGAGAAGTAAAGTACAGTGAAATTCTGGGGATGGAAGAGGTAGCCTCTGACATAGTGGGAAGGAAAAAAGAATAATGCTTTTGAGGGTCTGTAATGAAGTAGACGTTGTCTTAAACTTGGTCCCAGCCAAGGGTGGTGGCTCATACCCATAGTCCCCCTGGATTACACTGTCAGTTCCAGGCTATCCTGGGTTACAGAGTGAAACACAGTCTCAAAAACAAACAAGACAGACAGAAAGACAAAAACAAAACAATGAGACTTTAAAAATATCTTTTATGTGTGTTTGGGTGTCTGAGTATGTATATGTACCACATGTGTGTAGAAGCCCTTGGAGGCCTGAAGAGTGGTCAGAGCCCTTGATAATTGCTTATTAGCTACCATGTGGGTCCTGAGAACCAAACCCAGGTCCTCTGCTGTAGAAGTAAGCATTCTTCCACCGAGCCATTTCTCTGGTCCTTACACTAAAAACTTCTGCATATAATGAACTTTCTTGCACAGTTTGAAGAGAGAGTCCAAAGTAGTGTAAATTTAGGATATGGCAGGTAAGTAGGAAAGGGCGCAGTGGATAGTGGGATGGTTATGATAGTCTTCTGGCCTAGAATCAGATAGACTGGGTTTGAATTGTATTTCTTAAATATATATGCTTTCTCTTGTTATTTTTTACCCTCCTCTATCTATAAAAACACAGTAGTTCCATTTCATAACTATTTAAGAGTACTAAGCAAGAAAATCCATTTGATTTTTTTTCCCACCGTGATTAAAATACAGAGACTACAGAGTGTGTTTAATAAAATACTAGTTAGAGCTGGAGAGATGGCTTTTGCACTTGAGCACCTGATCAATCTCTCTCTCTCTCTCTCTCTCTCTCTCTCTCTCTCTCTCTCTCTCACACACACACACACACACACACACACACACACACACACACACACACAATCTGAACAGTCTTTCTTTCTAAATGTTACTTTGCAATTTGCTTTTATTTTCTAGAGGATTCTTTGGCTGAATTCTAAAGGCTGAGAAAAGTTAGTCATGTGAAGATTTTTTTCGTTAGAAGTAATGTATTCAAAAGCATTGAGCCATGAACTGCATGGCATTGGAAATGCTGGAGGATTTAAAGAGATATATGCAAGACCTGAAGAGGCACAGTCAACTTTGTTGTTCTTTGACACAGGTTTTTTTCATGTGGCCTAGAACTTACCAGGTAGGCTAAGATGGCTGGCTGGAGAGTCCATAGATCTTCCCTTTCCGCAGCACTGGGATAACATGCCTCAGAATTTCAGTTCACTGGCATTCCATTGCCAGGCGGTTCATGCCTCAGTACGTGCTTGCCTTTTTTTCTCTTTTCTTTCCTCTTTCTTCTTTTTTATTTAAAGTGAGTTCTTGGGATCAGACTTGAGTTCTTTGGCTCTTTACCTGTGGAATTTTCTTCCCAGCCCAATTTAAGTGTTTATCACTGGTGCAACTCAAGCCTAAAGTGTCTCTCTCACACAAGGAAAATAGGAGCAGGTAATACTTTGTATTAGGCGCTTGTTTCATTTTCTGTTACTTATCATTTATTGGTTTATTATTGTTGTTTTGTCTGAGATAAGCTCTTCCTCTGTAGCCCTGGCTAGCCTGGAACTTGCTGTGTAGACCATGCTAGTATAGGGCTTGTGGCATTCTTCCTGCTTTGGCCTCCCAGGTGCACCATAGCACTTAGAAGAGTGCGTGCTTGTGTGTGTGCACATGTGCGTGAGAGTGCGAACACCACAGGCATGCCTGGTAACATTGGACTGTGAAGATCAGAGCATCAGATTCCCTGGAACCAGAGGTAGAGACAGTTATGAGCCCCCATGGAGGTGTTGGAAACTGAACTCTGGTTTTTGGGGGGTTTTTTGTTGTTTTTTTTTTGTTTTTTGTTTTTTTTTTTTTGTTTTTTGTTTTTTTTTTTGCAAGAGTGGCAAGTGCTGCTGAGCCATCTCTCTAGCTCCCTAAAATTGAGACACATAGGCATTATTAAAAGTCCTCCTGCAAAGTAGGTTGTGATGTCCAAGCCTATAATAGGTCCTCCGTATTTGGGGAGAGGTGGATAGGCAAGATTAGGGGGTCAAGGTCATCCTCAGCTGAAAAGCGCATTTGAGGCCAGTGTGAGTCTCAAAAAGACAAGAAAAACTCCTGTCATTTGTCAAAGTGACAACATGTGTTTTGGAGAGGACAAAGCCTACTCAAACACAGCTTTATACCCCTTACCCCAAAACTCATGACTTTTTAGAAAAAAAAAAAAAAAAAAAAACAAGAGTTCAGTTTCCAACACCTCCATGGAGGCTCGTAACTGTCTCTACCTCTGGTTCCAGGGAATCTGATGCTCTGATCTTCACAGTCCAACGCCACCAGGCATGCCTGTGGTGTTCGCACTCTCACACACATGTGCACACACACAGGCACGCACTCTTCTGTTCCAATAGTTGCCAGAGTCTTGCTTTGTTCCAGTACTAACTCAAAATCCCAGGGTTGCTTGTGAGCCTGTGCAATGAAAGGTAGCATATTTTCTTCTAGCATGTAATGCAGAGGCAGGCAAAGGATAGCTATTTTCTTTCTAAAAGAGGAAGCTTTGTTAAAGCCTTAAGTCTGAAGTCCAAGAGAATAGGCATTATCTTACAACTCTATAATAATTTTTCTGTATATATGTCATTTGGAAACTCTGGGGCAGGAATTGGGCCTCTAAAATATCGGGCAGCTCCACATCTGTGTGTTTGCAGGGCTCAGTCCATGCTTCATGCTCTTGGGCTTGGGGGCGTACCAATGCCTGCAGCTTGCCCGGTCAGGCAGTGCACACTGACAGTTGCTGTGCTATTAGAGATCATGGTAGCTGCCTGGCCTTCACTAGGGCTCGTTCCAGTGAGGATTCACTAGGACAGCTCCCATTCCTACATCAGGTTTCTCCTTGCACCCCCATTTTACTTCCCACAGTCCATGCATCTTTTGAAGTTTTGGTAGAGGCAGCCATTTCCCCACAGCTCTTGCATTCTACATGTCTCCAGAATTAGCACCATGAGGCATAGGTTACCACAGGTCACTGCTAATAATGCTCCCTCTCAGGCTGCAGTACAAGCTTACTCGGATAACCAATGGGAGCATGCTGGGATGTGAGGAGTAGAGGCTAGGTAGACTGGGCTATCAGTTCTTTCTGCTCTTAAGACCCGAGCTTTTGGTTCCATGATTGCAAGAACAGCCAAGATTGCCAAAACACCTTCAGAACTTTTTTTGTTGTTTATGGTAAATAATAGCACTTGACTTTATCAGTGCTAATTTCTGCACTTGCTTGGTAGCCCTCTTTGAGAGCAAGAGTGATTGAGAACAAGAGAGGTATTGATTTTGTGTTTGTGGAAATGCTATAACACTTATGTTGTGGCCAGAGGACAATCTACACTGCAACAACTGTTCTCTTTTTTCACCTTGTGTCTATTCTGGGATCAAACTCATGTAGCCAGTTGGCTGCAAAGTCCCTTTACTAGCCTAGTCATCTTGCTGGCCTGGCCACTGTCTTGACCTAGTTCCACTTTGTACATAGTATAGTCAGCCTGTGAATTTGTTATTATTTTGTATACATTAGTGTTTTGCTTGCATGTATGAGCGTGTCAGATCCTCTGGAACAGGTGTTATAGACAGTTGTGAGCTGCCATGTGGGTGCTGGGAATTGAACCTGGGTTCTCTGGGAGATCAGCCAGTGCTCTTAACTGTTTAGCCATCTCTTCAGCCCTTCTTTTCCTTT